AACAAAGAAACAATGAATGCCAAGTAAACTAAAGTAGAAGGGAGAATGTCTGATGGGATGAATGAGGTAAGACACATCGATTTAGTCATAAAATAGGGTGGGATGTTATAGCCATGGATAGAATCGGCAGGAAGGTAGAGGGTGTACAAGTGGGCTGAAGCAATAAAGTGGGAGGAACCAAGTAGGGAATACAGTGAACGAGATAGTATTGTGCAACAATGGATAAGAAGCTAAAGCATCTTAAGATCCTACATAATGTACTCATGTACACTTGGGGTAAAATAGGGTGGATTCTAAAAGAAGAGAGTTTTTACAATGGATAGGAGATAATGGAAAGAAGTAACAACAGTACAACAAAGTGACTTACGATTTTGATAAGTACGTACCTACAGTAGTGTCAAAAGCAACGATGATATGGTCACTTCGAGATGCATCAGGTAACACGTGGTCGTGCTGACAACCGAATCCATCTAACGTGCAATCCCATTTGCAGGGACAACTGCAGACGGTATCGCTCGCATCTGAAGACTTGTGCGTGTAGAGCCAAACTGTATCGACTGAAGTATTAAGAATGTCCACGCATATCGTGCACGTTCGTACTGTCCCATTTGCGTATACATAATCCTCCACCCCTGCCAGGCTGAAGAAATGGAAATGTAGAGGGACAACTAGATTATATGCTACTAGACCATGCAATGAAGCTCTTTAGTACATATCAACTCATCTAAATGCACTCATACGTAGCCGTGACACAATCCAAATCATAGATCAAGACAGCTCCATCATGAAAGAAGAGACCTAGTGGTAGTGATTTGTGTGATCAGAGTACACAACAGTACAAGAATAAAGGGAAGCATTTTCGACGCACCATGAATTCTTAATTTTACTTGACAAACAAGAAAATCAAGAAAATATAACAATAATGGGAGTTACATCAGAACATACCACGTGAGGTGTTGATGGGTTCCTTGCAAACTACGCAGAGAGTGGAGTGGGTGTAAATATGGTAAGCGGGATGCACCACTCTTGTACAGTCATGCGGGCATGCGATGTGTTATGCTCCCACCTCAGCTCTGGCTTCTTGTCATGAACTGAATCCCTGTCTTGTTACAAAGGGTTTAACGATGGTTTAAAAGGATTAAGGAAGTACAAGAGGTGGTGAGAGATAAAATAGGTTACTGATTTTACCTAGAAAGGTGATAGTCATGACAAAGGAGCTACATGGTAGTGTGATATGAATCAAAGGGGCAAAAATGTGTACTTGGGTAACAAAAATATAAAAACTAGGTGTTAAGACAAAGAGGAAAAGACACTAGATATAAGAAAAGGGCCTACTGAAAGGTTTACGCCAATTACTGGGGGGTAAGAATCGGTCAAGGCACAAAGGTTGCACAAGCGTATAGAGGCAAGCACAAAGTGATAAAAAGGGTCAGAACTAAATAAGAGTAAAATATATGAAACGGGAGAAAACTATCGGATGAAACAAAGAAGGCTAAACATAAGGATAAACGTGAGCAACTATGTGTACACAAGAGAAAACTGCATACAATCGAGCAATGGGAACATGCAGGGAACGTGAACATGTGCAACACTTATGACTTCAGCATAAATTTACACAACTTCATAGATAGGAAAAACATGTAACAACATGCGCAAACAAGCACTCAACAATATACCGCTTACCCCTTTTGCGGAGGGAACATGATCGTGAGAGCACAGATATCGTGGGTTGCTCCAGGGACGAAATCCTCGAGAGTCTCAAAACACTTCACCGCAGTCCATGATCCCTCCGGCCATAAATTCAGATCGATCGAAGAGCCAGCAGAGTCCATCAAATTCAACTTGGCAGGGAACCTTCGATGACCAGCATCCTGAAAGTTATGAGGCTGTACGCTAATGATGATTGCTCAAACCATGAAGTTCGTTGGCTCCTTGCTTTCACGCAGAAGAGACGTAAGCTGAGCAAAGGTCTTGATTGCTGGAACCTGCTCAACAATGTAATGCCAATAATATCAAATCTTAATGTAGTTAACAACAACAATCAAATAAGCTACAAAGCAAAAATTTCACAAAAACATATATAACAACATGTTGAGTAGCAAAGTCAACATCGTGTTCGTGAAAAGAAACATTACAGCGAACGTTGAGCATTGGGAATGATAGTAGAATCATAGCATTATGCTCATACTTATGGAAGTGATAGCAAGTGTGTCACATGCGTGTGTGGATATGAAATTTTGCATAAATTCTCACCTCTAGGAGCGATCGCTAGTCACATGAAAGACGGCCTTCAAGGCAACGCTCAAGTTATTTTAGAAGAACAAATACAGGGAAATGATCACTATAATAAGTCTCACCAACTCTTACATCAACCTCAAATTTTGAACGATCGAGCCATACATGAGCAATCAAAGTATTACGTATAGTTGTTGACGATGGAACACATTGAGTAAACGAAAAATTGTTCATAAATTTGATCAAATGCTTTGGAAGAGGCTTCCTTGTGTCAAAATTGAGATCACCAAGAATGATAGTATCTCCCATTGGGATTTTATCCATAGCTTGAAGAAATGAGGAATAAAAACACAGATGAGATGCTTGAGGGTTACGATAAACACAAACAACAAATGTGTTTGGTAAGGATATGTATTGCAAGACAATGATTTGCACTTTATTAAATACTTGATGGTAAATAATAGAAATGTGCTCGTTTTGTATGTAATCAGCATTCCCCCGAAATGGCAATCTTGACGGAACACCCAAAGGTCCTTAAATGCAATACCGTGAGAATCTTTTGGGGAAAGATGGGTCTCAATGAAAACAACAAAATCAAACGATCTTGATGATTTTAATGATGTTAAGATGCACTCTTTTTTTAATGTACGTATATTATGGATGACAAATTTGGCTCGTGCTTGGGAAGTTGCAATTACTTCTACTGGCACTAGATTAATCGCTATTGGGCTCCTACGTAAGCGTTGCATTTCTTTGGTAACTTCGCTATGCACTCGAATACAGTTTGCCGAAAAAGTTTTCCATAAAAAAGAGCTCGATGAGTCTTAAATCTACTTAACACGCGACATACGCTGTATGGGGGAATTTTGCTTGATAAAAATGTACAACACCAGAATCGAATGTGCAGCCTTGACTACGGTGCACAATAATCGCCGCACTTGACCGTAACGGAAATTGTGATCTCGATATTTCATCATACTTTCGGTTGATCGAAAACTAACGCTCAAACCTGACGATTGGAGTATATCTTGTATCATAGACATCCCATATCGAGTACAAATGATGACCATTACGCCGCAATGTCAGCTTCAACTGCTTCGCGGTTGTCACGTGGATTAGGCTATGACTAGCCCCACCATCTACAATAACTTTTTTTTTTACCATTCACCTTGCCTTCGACGAGCACATGGTGATCTTTAGGTTCGCTCCTGTTATTCGTTTGAGTGCGGTCGTTAGCATGTATCGGTACCACAACTTGGTGGGAACGTTGAAGTTCGGGCGTTAAAGCCTCCTCAGTAAGGGGCCTGTCTGCTACAGACTTTTCCCATTTCCCGACTTCTCCTTGTCGTTCTTTTTTTCTTGGGCGCCGTTGGGTAGTACTTAGCTCGGTAACATAGCCTGTGAAATACTTCATCGGGCGCAGACACACCATTGATCGTGGTGTCGGGAAACTGTCCCCGAAAACGACCAACATCTCTGTTGTTCTTTCTCGCCCACTGCTGCAGTGCATCGGCCGCTGACGCCAACTGGACAGCATCATCGAACGTCTTAGGCCGGGACCGCTGCAACTCGTACTGAATATCAAAATGCAGCCCGCTGATGTATTTGTCCCACCTTTCCGCTTCGCTGAGTTCGTCCACTTGGTCCGCAAGTGCCGAGAACGACGCAGTGTAATCTTGAACCGCATTCACCTGCCGCCAGTTGCGCAGCTTCATGGGAGCGTCGTCTGAGGCGGATGAGTACTCAAAACGAGCTTGCAGAGCTGTGCCCCACTGTTTCCACGTGCGAATCGTGGTCGTACCGAATATCGTTTCTGCCCGTTGGTTTGAAGAATCCGAAGTCCCGTCCTTCGCCTGCCGGAGTCCCGATCGCCAACTGACGTCGCCACCAATCCAACGCCGGTCCTCAGAGCAACGACACGGCATAATTAATGCGCACGTCGTCTGCGTACACACTTGCCGCCGTGAAGAATGACTCCATGCTGAACAATCGCCCTTGTAGCGCCGTCGCCTTGTCCGAAGTGTTGAATGGGGGTGGCATGGCCGGCTTGAGCTTAATATTCATCACAGTCACAGTGCGCACGTCGTCCTGCTCCAACTACCGTGCGAGCTCGTCAAGGACGGTTTCGCTCGCCGCGTCGGCTTCTTGCTTGACATCATTCTCAGCGACTCCAGGCGACTCCTGATGCGCTTCACCACGCGTCTCGCGAAGCTCAGTGTTCTCTGTCCAGAGTTCAAACTCGCCATCTGGGCTTGCATTGCCTGCATCTGAGCCATGACCTCGTCTAGCTGGGCCTGAGTCATGATGCAAACGCTACGCCTTTCGGGCAAGCGGAAGGCCGTGGTAAGGAACTGCAGGGGGCACAAACGCTATCGTAGTTGTGTGAGCTAACAACTCTAGCTCACAGACAACCACTTTGCAGCCCTGCAGGGTTAACCACGCCTTGGGAATAAACTAATATGAGAATGCGGGGTGAACCAGGAAAGTAGCTCTGATACGAGATGTTATGAATAATAACCGAGAGTGCGCGGAATAATAATGACGAGTACAAAATGGGAGCCTAGCAGTATATAGCGAGAACTCTAGTTAGGCGACGAGCCCGGGGACTAGCTTGGGTACAGGCGCGGTCGAAAGGTCCGGAGGCGGCGCGAGTCAGCCTCGGGGTCGCCTCGGTTTGGACCGAGCCTGGTCTTCCGAGAGCTTGGGTGTACCGGAATGCAGTACAAGCCGGTAAGGAATAAAATTTCGTACAAGAAACATCCAAGAAACTGTTAGCAGGGAAATGCGAGTAAACCCCGCGAATCCCGCCAAGAGCGAATTTCTTACTACTCGCAAGTTCCGCCGCGCCATGTCCGCATCAGCGCGCGCCGCATCTCTCGCTTGCGCTCCGCTTCTCCGCTCCCGCAACATCTGCACGCTTCCGCTATCCCCTAACCTCGCTTTCTCCCCCGTCCCCTTTTTGCGCGCGTCTCTGCCTGCGCCAACTAGTACCACCTTCCGCGCACGCATTCACGCTGCGGAAAGTCCGCATCTACTGAGTCAGTCTGGGCGCGGCGCAATAGTCGACCGTGTTTTGTTGCGCGGAAGCGCTCTCTCCCCACGCGTTCCGCCAGCGGCGGAAGGCTTGCGCGGAATCTGCGGGACTTCACCACGCTTAGCCACATCCGCAGCTGCTGGTGCCGCCCGTCGGGGGAGCCATCCGCTGAAGGCGGTGATGGCGCAAGCGGGGAATGGTGGAAGCGGAGAGCAGGGGGAAGCTTCGGGGGAGCGGAATGTTGCGCCGTTCGGGGCGTGGGAGTCCCCCATCGGCGCGGATATGGCGAGCGGCGCTAGCCTGCGGTTCGGCGGGGCGATGGTGGATAGCGAGGGGCGACTGGTGTGGGCGGAAGGGCGGCCCACTGAAAAGGGGTGAGAGGGAGAAAGGGTGAGCTGACAGTAGCTGTAGACTGCGCTGCCTACCGTGGCGGATAGATAGCGCGGGACGGCTGGTGTGAGCGGAAGGACGGCCAACAGAGAAAGGGTGAGCTGGCTGCAGCAGACTTAGATGTGACTGTAGGGCGTAGATTGCTTTGAGAAAGCGTGAACGATGGTGCATATAGCGAGTGGTGGCTGGTGTGACTGGAAGGGCGAAACACAGAAAACGGGTGAGCTTCTATTGCCAGGCTAGCGATCAGCCAGTTGGCTCATTGCCACCTGTCCATCTACTTATCTCTCAATTCCCTCCCCCCAATCTCCCCAGTCGGGTGGTGGTGGTGAGAGAGGGTACACGTGGCGCAACCCCATTGGACATCTCCCCTCCCTCCATGAATGTGCGATCTCGCGTGCACGAGTACGGCGGGGGGGCCTTTCTGGTCGCCCCCTCTCCTCCTCCTGCCACTTCGGATGCCACGTCAGCAGGTTGCGGTGTGGAGGGCGATCTGCTGATCTTCTCCAATGGATCCGATCAACGGCTGTACTCGCTCCAGCTGACATCCAGCGGTCCAGATGCAGCCGAGGGTATGTATGTGTGCGTGCTTGGCCCTCTCTCCGCTTGGCGCCCTCTCTGCCTGTGCATAGTGTGATGGTTGATTGTATGCATGCAGGATGGGTGCAATTTTCTTGGCGCCAGAAAAATCGATGGGTGCATAATGCATAATGGATGGCTTGTTCCCACCCACACACTCCCATCCCCCTCTCTTTCATCTCCACACCGTGCTCTCTCCCTCCCCTCTCTTCTGTCTCTTTTGCCCTCCCCAACCCACAGCATCCCATCCCAAACCGCTGACCCCTGTTGTTGAGCCGCCTGGCACTCTGCGATTCGCTGACGGGCGGCTGGACATGCGGAGGCGGCGAGTGATCTGCGTTCAGGAAGGTGCAGATGGAGGGGGGAGGGTGGGGGGGTGGGAGGGTCGGGGAAAAGGTGGGGGGGGAGGGAGATGGGATGGGATGCAATGTTTTGGGCGGCTGGACATGCGTTGGAGACGAGTGATGTGTGTTCAGGAAGGTGAGGAGTGAACGGGAGACTCTTTCAAAGTTGGAAATCGTTTTCTTTCGCAGCGCCTGCATGCATGCCATGTCGTTTTCCGCTGCCCTGCTCCATGCGCTTTGGTGCTGTTCTGACAATATCTGCCTTTGAGTCGATTCAGAAGCGTAGATTGTTCCGCCAATATTTTGCGAGTTATCATATTTGCTTGTTTTTCCCTTGCCCCCTTCCGTCCACTGCAGATCATCGCCCTCCATCAGAGACAGCAGCACCCAGCGAAAGCAGCAGTGGCGGCGGAGCTGAGGAGAATGGGGAGCATGGGGAGACCATTCATACCATTCAGACCATCGCCGTGCCGTCGCCATTCAGACCATTCAGACCTTTTCTTCGTCCCCTTTCCGTGCCTTGCAGATCATCGCCCTCCATCAGAGACAGCAGCACCCAGCGAAAGCAGCGGCAGTGGTGGAACAGAGGAGCATGGGGGGCATGGGGAGCCGAGTAACATGATTGTGGCAGTGTCTCTGGATGGGGATGGGCCGGAAGGTAAGGTGGTGAGAGGCATGGCGGGGAGGTAAGATGCCGGTACAGATGAGCGGGGGGCGCATGGGGAGCCGAGTAACATGATTGTGGCGGTCTCTCTGGATGGGGATGGATCGGACGGTAAGGTGGGTACATGGGTGTACCCTCTCCTCTTCGTTTTTTACCGCACTCTTACTGGGGTCCACGTCCACTACCCCATTGCCACACCCATTACCTCCTTCTCTCCCCCCCGTTATCCACCCAAATTATCTGTCATCCCATTCATCCCAAAATTCTCCCTGCCCGTTGCCCATCGCCCGTATGCCCCCCCATCCCCCTCCCACTCCCTCATCTCGCCTCGATTTCAAATCCCCTGCCCCCACCCCCCACACCCCCAAGTCGCGCGACTTTTGAGTCGACTCAAAAGTCACCTCGTTTCACACCCTCTCCCTTCACCCCACCAAGTCGGGCTTGTCGTGCTCCCGTCCATCCCACGGACAGAAGAGTAGTTTTGTACCCTCAAAAACTGCAAGCCCGACTTGGTGGCGCCTCAAAACTACTCTTCTATCGCCCGCCTCGGTTTCGTACCCTCTCCCCTCAACCCCCCAAGTCGGGCTTGTCGTGTTTCCGTCCATCCCACGTCCTCTCTCTGTCGCCCTCCTCTCTTGCCTTCTGCCCCCCCCCTCGTCCCGCTGCTCCCCAGGTCCCCTGATGCTGGCATCAGGAGCTGATTTCTACGCCTCGCCGCGCGTCAGCCCAGATGGCACCCAGCTGGCATGGGTGGAGTGGAGCCACCCGCACATGCCATGGGAGAGGAGCAGAGTGATGGTCGGCACGTTTGGTGATAGCGGGTGGGTTGTGTGGTGGCTCGTGGTATGGCAGTGCATGGGGCATGGCAACCGGGCGGCTAGCATGGGTGGATTGGAGCCAGCATGCCGTGGGAGAGGAGCAGAGTGGTGGTCGGCACATTTGGTGATAGCGGGTGGGCTGTGTGGTAAGGCAAGGCAAGGTAAGGTAAGGTAAGATCGGGTATGGCTTAGAGGCAGCTGGCATGAGTGGAGTGTATGTCAGGGCGCATGCATGTGCTGTCACTGCATGGGCAATGGCAGGCTGGCATGGGTGGAGTGGAGCCATGCACAACGCAGCAGAGTCATGCTCGGCACATTTGATAGCAGTGGGTACGTGCGTTTGGGATGGTATGGGTTGGGTACCAGGTGTCGATGGGAAACCAGTCTGCTGCTGGCATGGGTGGAGTGGAGTGGGGCCACCCACACATGGGAGCTCAGCAGAGTGATGGTTGGGTTGGGGCCACCCACACATGGTTGGGTTGGGGGTTTGGATGATTGCGGGCTTGGCTAACTGCTTGCTCGGGCTTTAGTGCAGCCGGCTTGGGGCACCTGGCAGCTTGCCAGGGATGGAGCGCTTAGATCTCACATTGCTTGGAGCACATCGCTTTCAGAAGATTCTTGAGAAGGTATTGGGGGCATTCAAATTCCTGCACTGCCTATGTCTTCGACTGACAAAGGTGAGAGGTGCAGGCATGCTGCAGTTGCCAAGTCTTTCTTCACTCAAAACATAAGGCCTTTCAGCCAGCCCTTCCACATACACCATACCAGCAGCCAGAAATATATAATGTTTTGAGTGAAGAAAGACGTGTCAAATGCTGCATGCGTGTACCCCTCACCATTGTCAGGCTAAGGCATAGGCAATGAAGGGAATTTTAAGGCCCCAATACCTTGCTGTATTGCTGTAAGGCCCCAATGAAGGGAATTTTAAAGCACCGTCTGAAATTGCTGTACGCGTGAGATCGAACCTCTCCATCCCTGACACGCTGTACATGTGGCTAAAGCTGGCTGCACTAATGCCGTAGATGTTAGCCAAGGAAATCGACTTTAACTGCGAGTGTGATATCGGGTGAGCAGTGTGGTAAGGTGAGGTGGGGCTTAGAAGCAGGCAGCTGTCAGTTGGCATGGGTGGAGTGGAGCCTCCCGCACATACTATGGGAACGCAGCAGAGTGATTATCGCCAGTATGGGAGATGATGGGTATGTACGGTGTAGCGCAGTGTGAATGGGTATGAGCTGATGCAGACAATAACAGCCAGCTGGCAGGGTGGAGTGGGGCCACCCATGCATTCCATGGGCGAGGAGCAAAGTGATGGCCGGCAGAATTGGCAGTGATGGGTGTGTCTGTATATCTGCATGGCATGGTATGATATGACCATTCATGTGCTATGTGCGTCTGAAAACGAAAAGCTCTGAAGCACTCACCTTCATCTAACAAGCCACTTCCTGCCAGCCCTTTCAGTCGTTGTCTTTCCCTCGTTTTGCCGCCCCTCTCCGGCCTCTCCTTCCCTTCAACTCTTTTCGCGTTTCTTCCTGTCTCTTCCCTTTTCCCCCGTTCACTCTTTCCACGTGCACTGCCCTGCAGACTAGACATGGGCAAAAAAAATCGCATCGCATCGCATTTAATCGCGTTTTTGCGATGGCGATGTTTTTTTTTTTTTTTAATCATCGCGCGATTTAATTTTAATCGCATTTTAATCGCGCTAAAAAACGCGATTTAAATGCGATATGCGATTTTTTTAAAATCGCACGCGATATTGCACTGAAACCCACTCTGAAACCCACTACGAAACCACACTGGTTATTTGCACTCTAGCTTACGACTGCCCGTGAGTCAATTTCCCCGCAGCCATGTTTTTTTTCTGTTTTTTTTGGGGTGTTTTTTAATTCTGTTTTAAAACGCGATGCGATTTAAAATCGCATTGCGCGATTTAATTAAATATCGCATGCGATTTTTTAATACATCGCGGGTGAAAAGCGATTTGCGATTTATTTATTTTGAAAAATAAATCGCGCGATGCGATTTTAAATCGCATTGCTTTTTTAAACATCGCACCTGCATGCGATGCGATTTAAATCGCAATCGCGTTTTGATCATGTCTACTGCAGACTCCAGTCTCCTCGCCTCTGTGTGCACTGTGTAGCAGAACAGAAGCAGATGTCACTATGTCCCTTCGCCCCTTACCCTCCCTTACTCTCCCCGTCCTCCCTGTTGGTTTCCCCCTCCTTTCCTCCCCAGCCTCCTCTCCTCAGTGCAGTGTGTGGCAGGAGCGGACGATTCCATATTGGAAGCACCCATGGAGCCCCTATGGTCTCAGGAAGGTAAGTAACGGGGCGCACGCATGGTTGTGTGGTAACCAGTATATTTGTGGGATTGGACAAGAGGTGGGTACACAAAGCAGGACCAGACGACTGAATAGCGGAAGCACCGATGGAGCCCCAGTGGTGTGGTCCCAAGAAGGTAACCAGTGAAGTTTTTGTGTGGTAACCATCGTCAACTAGTAGTATAGGTACACATACAGACAGGTATCAGATGACTGCAGTCCGTTGTGAAACCACCCATAGAGCTGGCTGGTCCCAAGAAGGTGAAGCGATGGAGAGCATAGGAATCTGGTAACCAGTATACATGGGGATGCCAGCAGATGATAAGTGGCTGGCAGGAGCAGACGAGAATTTTGAGTGGTAACCTGGTGTAAGTGTGGTAAGCAGCGAGTGTTACAAGTGGCACCAGCTGAATGTGGATATGGCAGATGATTCCAACACGGAAGCACCCTACACTGAAGCTGTCGCAAATCCCCTCACCCCCCTGCCTCCCCCCTCTCTCCCCTCTTCCCCCCCCCCCCCCCCCCCTTTCAGGTAATGTCTACTTCCTCTCGGGCCGCTATTCCGGCTTCTGGTCTCTGCACCGCTGGGAGAATGGGCCCCCTTCCACCCCTATTCCTCTCCTTCGCTCTCCCCTCCCCCCCTCCCCCTTTCAGACGATCTCTACTTCCTCTCAGATCGCTTTTCGGGCTTCTGGTCTCTGCACCGATGGGTGGGTGTTTTTTGCTCAGGTGTTATCTGGTTAGGTGTTATTTGCTTGGGCGTTAGCTGCTTAGGTGTTATCTTCTCATGTGTTATCTGTTCAGGCATCACCCACCCCCCCGCTTCCCTTGCTTCCCCCCTTCCCCCTCCCCTCTCTCCCTCCCGCAAATTCTTACGCTGTCTTCCATTACCCTCTCGTTTGCATCATATTTCCCTACCGTTTGCTTTTAAGTTTCTCATCACATTCCCTGCGCTCCCTGATGCAGAGCAACCCCGCATCAGCTACAGTAGAGGCAGTGGTTGGCAGACATCCCTGTCTGTTGGGGTGCGTTAACCATGGTGTCTCATGGTGGAGGTTGGGGTTTGGAGTCATCCTCCCCTCTCCACCCCCCATCACCACCCCCACACTCCTGTGTGCAGAACCCTGCATCGGCTACAGTAGAGGTAGTTGCAGAGATGCCGAAGCAAGACGGTGCCGAACTGATGGTGGAGGTTGGGGGACCCCTCTGGGTGTTTGGCAATGCGAGCTATGGGTTTATACCTGACAGCCCTCACCACGTCGCTGCTATATGCCAGTAAGTTGCTCTTGTGTGCCAGTAAGCCACACCAACAGTGGAGGCTGGGGGACCCCTTTGGGTGTTTGGCAACGCGAGCTACGCGTTTATATATACCTGGCAGCCCTCACCATATTGCTGTCATATGCCAGTGAGTTATTTTTATGCTTGTATAAGCCCATAATCTACACCACAGTGCTTGCATGTGTAAGCGAGTTGTGTTACATCAGATTACATGCTCTTGCCGCCAATTTACACTTCCCTGCCATCCCATCCTGTCCATCCCATCTTGTCCATGATCCATGCCATCCCATGCCATCCCATCCCCCACCATGCACAGAGTGAAGGGGCAGTCTCAGCTGGCCATCATCAACACCCTCACTCGCTCCTTCACACTCACTCCTCCCTCCGACCCTCCTCTCACCCAGATGTCACACCTGGTAACCACTCACCCCCACGTGTAACCACTCCCTTCCTTGCTACCACAATCATGCATCCAGCAGCATCGCATGGCATCCTTATGCAGTTTCAGGTGTATCTTGAGTCGACTCAACATACAGCGTGAGTGACATCCCTTAGCAGTCTCAGGTGTATCTTGAGTCGACTCAAAATACAGCGTGAGTGACATCCCTTAGCAGTTTCAGGTGTATCTTGAGTCGACTCAAAATACAGCGTGAGTGACATCCCTTAGCAGTTTCAGGTGTATCGAGTCGACTCAAAAGACAGCGCGAGTGACATCCCTTAGCAGTTTCAGGTGTATCTTGAGTGGACACAAAATTAGACATGATTATATCGCGTCGCATCCCATTGCATCACCTCGCATCGCATATATCGAGATATGCTATAGCGATATTTTTTTCCCCTGAAAGAATATTGCGGGATGCGGTGCATTTAAATCGCGCGATATTTTTTATCGCATTTATATCGCCGTCATCCTGCAGCGATATAATGTGATATGCGATATTAAAATATCGCATGCGATGTCAAGCATCGCTTGCGATATCTGTGCGATATCTACACGATATCTATGCGATCTTTTAACATCACATGCCCTTTTTTGGGGCCTGAAAACCGCTTTTAAACCATGCTTTTAAATGCGATGCGACGTTAAACTGCATAGCGCGATAAATCGCTATATTTTTGCGATATTTTTTTAAGTCGCACCCAAAATACGATGTGCAATATCAGATTTCTGGAAAAGTACCGCAGCGATGCGATACTATATCACGCGATATAAAATGAGATATGGAGAAATGCGATGCGATATTATATCGCATCGCGTTTTAACCATGCCTACTCAAAATACACCATGAGTGACATCCCTTCGCAGTTCAGGTGTATCTTGAGTCGACTTAAAATACACCATGAGTGACATCTAGACATGGTTAAAATGCGATGCGATGCGATATCGCATCGCATTTTGTCATATCCGCGTGATATCGCAGCGATGCGATATCGCATCGCTGCGATATTCTGTTTTAAAAATTGAAATCGCATATCGCTTTTTAGGGTGCGATGTTACAAAATATCGCACACATGAATGCGATATATCGCGTGATGCGATTTAATATCGCATCGCATTTAGGGGTCGGAGGAGAAAAGCAGAACGACAAGGCCGGTTTTCCTAGGTGCGCGAGGAATTAGGTGAGTGAAGTTTAACGGGAGAATGGGATATCGTAGCCCCTCTCTGATGTAAAGCGTGTTAGAAGGGCAGGGGTTGGATTCCGTAGATGTGGAGGAATGTAGTGCGGTTGAAGTGTTGGAAATTGGTTGGACTTCCAACCAATTGACTTAGTGGGGGTCGAGATTTCAATCAACCTCCTAAATCCCTTTAACCGCACACCACCACATTCCATCCACCACCGCCCATGTCAAAATTTGAACCTCCAACCAACTCTCTTCCCTCAACCACACTGCACTCCTTTTCAACTAGAATTTCCAACCCTTCCTCTCCAAGCTCCTCACAAACACCTCCCCGTCAATTACGCCAACCCCAAACAGCCGCGCGCTATTTCCGCACGCCATTACAACCAGAGAACCCTAATTTTTGCTAAGTTCAGGGCCCGCGCCCATGTTCCCCCCCCTTTTCTGCCGCAATTCCGCGACGCGATATGCGGATGTATGGCGCGCGATATTTTAATCTCGCATATCGCGTTATATCACGCTGAAAAATCCGCGATAACTGCATGATATCGTAAAAATCGCGCGATATTATCGCATCGCATCGCAGTGATTTTTTACTTAAAAAAATAAAAATCGCAATCACAAAATGCGATAAAATGCGATGCGATATACCCATGTCTAGTGACATCCCTTCGCAGTTCAGGTGTATCTTGAGCCGACTCAAAGTACACCATGAGTGACATCCCTTCGCAGTTCAGGTGTAACTTGAGTCGACTCAAAATACACCGTGAGTGACATCCTTTCGCAGTTTCAGGTGCATCTTGAGCCGACTCAAAATACACCATGAGTGTGACATCCCTTCGCAGTTCAGGTGTATCTTGAGTCGACTCAAAATACACCTTGAGTGACACCCCTTCGCAGTTTCATGTGTATCTTGAGCCGACTCATAATACACCATGAGTGACATGACATCCCTTTGCAGTTCAGGTGTGTCTTGAGTCGACTCAAATTACACCATGACTTACATCCCTGCACAGTTTTGGCATTCCTTCCTCCATTGCTGTAGAATCATCACCTGTAAAATTGTTCCCAAATTCTGGCTCGTTCATCAATGAAAGTTGTTCCTAGGGATCATCACGCGACTTTGATAGAACACCAGCTCCGTACTCCCACGTCCTCGCATGCAGGTGGCTGGCAAGGATCGTCTGTTTGTGTGTGCCGGCGGCCCCTCCACTCCCCTTTCCTTCTACGAGGTAATGATTCTCATTGTTGAAATTTTAAGGGGGGGAAAACCAACAAGCAAAAATAAAAAAAGACATTCACGCTGCTAACGGTTGTGCCCGTCTCCCAGTTCTTATTTTCCTGTTTTAAATGCTTGATTTTCCTAACGTTTTTTAGTCTCCTGCTTTTAGCTTTCTTTCGCTACATTCTCCTCATATGCCACTACGCTATTCCCCTTGCCACTCGTCACTAGATGTGCTGCTATGGTTGAAACTTCAAAGCAGCTGTCGACTCACAGCGGCCGGCTGGGAACCATCTCCAGAAATCACACTAAGATCCACCCACCCCACCCATCCGTACTGCACATGGCATAACTAGAAATTATCCTCCCCCCTATCCGTGCATCAGCAGCCATCAATACCGCCTCTCATATCCATGCTATCATCCTTGTTCTTTCCTTTCTCCCCATGCTATCTCATGGCACCCCATCCCACAATAACAGCTGAAGCCATCTCCGGACATGGCATCTCTGCATGTCCTCCTCCCCCCGATCCGAGCATCAACCGCCATCGACACTGCCTCTCTCACCCCCTTCCTCTCCTCGCCTCAATGGATCGAATTCCCCACCACCACCCCTGGGCAAGAGAACACCCACAGCGTACCCCCCCGCACGGCACACGCTCTCTTCTACCCGCCAAAGAACGGGAATTTCCGGGGTCCTGATGGATCCCTGCCCCCCTTGCTGCTCAAGTGCCATGGGGGACCCACGGGTTGCCTGGACTCCGCTCTGCGCCTGCCGCTTCAGTTCTGGACGTCAAGAGGCTTCGCTGTTGTGGACGTCAACTATGGCGGCAGCACGGGTGAGTACCCCCTCCTGCCCCTGCTGCTGCTGGCTCTGCTGCTGGTGATGTGCCTTGGCGGGCCCAGAGGGTGTCTGATGAGCCAATGGCAGTGTGGCCTTCGTGTGCTCCACGTCAGCCACCTGGCATGTCGTGCTTGCCTCTTTTGTGCGCCTTGCTGGCAGGCAGTGCTGCTGACGTGTCTCCCATGTATAACTGATCATCGTTGAGGTTTTGATTTGTATCAAGGGAGCATTCTTATATATCATCATATTTTGACATGTTTGTATCATCTTAATGGGTGCTTCTGGTGTCACTCGCTTTCGTTGCGGTGGTCTGCATGCAATGCAACCGTGCGATAGTAGTGCAGCTGTGAGACGTCTCAAAACTACATGTCTCAAAACGACATGTCTGTCCTTTGTTACCGTGTCCTCCATCCATGCAACCCTTGCGTGCATTCCTTCCACATGGTCGCTCACCAGATGACCTTTGATTCGACTCAAAAGGCATCTCGCTCGCCCACCAGGCTATGGGCGTGAGTACTGGAAGCGGTTGCATGGGCAGTGGGGAGTACCTCATGTGCTTTCGCTTTCCCTCCCCCCCTCCCTCCCTCCCTCTTTTCCTGCAACCCTTTCTTGTGTGTTCCCTCCTCGCATGCGGCCTTACCACGCCCACCAGGCTATGGGCGTGAGTATTGGGAGCAGTTGCATAGGCAGTGGGGAGTACCTCATGCGCTTTCCCTTTCCCTCCCTCCGTCCCTCTGTTTCCTGCAACCCTCCTTGTGTGCCCCTCCCATGCACCCCTCCCATGCACCCCTCCCATGCACCCCTCCCATGCACCCCTCCCATGCACCCCTCCCATGCACCCCTCCCATGCACCCCTCCCATGCACCCCTCCCATGCACCCCTCCCATGCACCCCTCCCATGCACCCCTCCCATGCACCCCTCCCATGCACCCCTCCCATGCACCCCTCCCATGCACCCCTCCCATGCACCCCTCCCATGCACCCCTTCCATGCACCCCCTACCAGGTTATGGGCGCGAGTATCGGGAGCGGCTGCATGGGCAGTGGGGAGTGGTGGACGTTGATGATGCATGCAGCTGCGTTGAGTACCTGGTAAGTACCTGGTAAGCACCTGGTAAGTACCTGGTAATTACCTCATAAGTACCTGGAGAGTACCTGGTAAGTACCTGGTAATTACCTGGTGAGTACCTCATAAGTACCTGGTACCAAGTGTTTGCATATGGTAACCATGTGGAGTACTGAGAGAGCAATAGGAGCTGCTGCATGGGCAGTGGGGAGTGGAGCATGTTGACGATGCATGCTGCTGCGTTGAGTGCCTGGTAAGTACCTGGTAACCACCTAGTAACTGCCCAGTGGTAGCAACCTTGCATTTCTCGAAACCATAGTAATACATGGTAACCATATCAAGTAGCTGGTAACCATCAAACGGTAACCATCAAACGGTAACCATCAAACGGTAACCATCAAACGGTAACCATCAAACGGTAACCATCAAACGGTAACCATCAAACGGTAACCATCAAATGGTAACCATCAAACGGTAACCATCAAACGGTAACCATCAAACGGTAACCATCAAACGGTAACCATCAAACGGTAACCATCAAACGGTAACCATCAAACGGTAACCATCCAACGGTAACCATCAAACGGTAACCATCAAACGGTAACCATCCAACGGTAACCATCAAACGGTAACCATCAAACGGTAACCATCAAACGGTAACCATCAAACGGTAACCATCAAACGGTAACCATCAAACGGTAACCATCAAACGGTAACCATCAAACGGTAACCATCAAACGGTAACCATCAAACGATAACCATCTGAGCGACTGCACAGGCAGTGGGGAGTGGTGGACGTTGATGATGCATGCAGCTGCGTGGAGTATGTGGTAAGTGCGTCACTGAGTAACCAAGAACCATGTGACTCACAACCTCTCACCTCAGCGCATGCCACTCAATGCCACAAGGTTGGAGGTTCTTTTGGTAGAAGTCAACTTAACAATGATTGGAACCATTAATGTTCAAATATTGTGAAGTATAGTTGAAGAGCAGAGGATTGTGGATCTTGAAGGCAGAACCAAACCAAGAAAGGTAATATTGATGACTGCGATGAGCAAAAGAATGCTGTCCCCATTCTGTATGGAATGCTGCCTGGTTCGCAGTTGCTGTACACGGCTTACTCCTTGTTTGTCTTGGAAGGGAGGAAAGCGCATCGTTCAGAAAATCAGTTGCGATAAATGCCACGGATAATGGGAAACCCAGAAATAATTGACTTCCAGAACGGTTTATGGTGCATATGAAGTCAAATTTGGCTACCATGCCATAAGATTTCGTTTAATTGCATACCAAGACAGGAATGATGTCAGTAGGTGTAAAAAGTTGGTGAACGCAATTATTGTGCCCAAGGAATTTCCAACTCCAAGGACGAGATTAGGGTAGCCGCATGGGCTCCAAGGTTGGTTGCACAGCATTTCCAGCATGAGAAAATTGCACTGAAAACCGCTTAAAGTACTCCAACGGTCTTCCAGCAGTTTTAATGGTTTTCTCGTGCTGGAAACGCTACGCCACCAACCTTGGATCTCGTGCCGCTACACTAATCTCTTCCAATGTGAGAACCACCTATGGAAATGCAAGAAAAATCACACAGAAATCGCGTTCACCAACTCTTCACATCTGCCGGCATCATTCCTGTCCTGGTATGTACTCTAACAAAACATTATGGCATGGTAGGCAAACCTGACTTTGAATGTACCATGATCCGATTCATATGTTGAAAGTTTTTGAGTTTCCCGCTGTCCGTGGTATTTATCGCATCCGATCTTCCCAGCGGTGCTCCTTCCTTTCTTCCACGACAAGCAAACAGCAAACCGTGTAGGACTTTCCCCGAGCGTCTACCACCGTGTGCTGACAGCGAACCTTTGCTAAACAAGCATGCCTCAGTCGAGATTTAGATGGTCAAGCTTGAGACGGACTACAATATTTTTTTGTTCGATTTTTTTTTTTTCCGGCCTGTTAAAATGGTTGAGTTGGCCCCGTTTTTTTTTCCCTTAATGCGGCTGGTATTGAGATTTCTCAAGAATCAACTGCAACTGTTAAATTCATCCTATTCTTTTCTAAGACCCAGTCCAGCGAAAAACATGGCACCAATGCAACCACTGTTGGGTTTACTTAATCTCAAACCATTCGACCTTGCCGCTCTCACTCCACACTATATCAGGTGCGTGCAGTGCAGGGCTCGTGGATGGCACCGAGGTGGCAATCGGTGGCGGGTCATCAGCAGGATGGTTCACCTTATGTGCACTTGCCCATCTTCCACCCATTCTACCCACCCTATTGTTGCATCCATCACTATCACGCCCGTTCAGGGCTAGTGGGATGGCACCAAGGTGGCGATCGACGGGTCGTCAGCAGGGAACTCACCCACCCTCTGTAGACGTGGGCATGAGCCTGGCTCGGCTCGGCTCGTTTTAGGTCGAGTCGAGCCGACTCGCCGTCGAGCCGGGACCCCGAGATGCCCGGCTCGGCTCGTCCCCATGTTGACGAGCCGGCTCGGCTTGGCTCGCCTTGCTGGTTTTTAGGGGTTAGTGGTTTTTGCGGACCCCTGTTTGCCAGCTTTGACTAGGTCCGCTGCGGGGATTGAGTTTGCCAAGCCCTACATGAACTCCTAATCTATACCAGTTGGTGCTTTGAAGCTAGCTAAGGTGCGCGCAACGTACAAACGATGTAGTTGCTGGCTAGGGTTGGTGGGATTGGGGTGGGGATGGCGTGGCACTAGTCTGTGAAGAGAGTGTTTCATCGATCTACAAACTGTACCCACGCGAATCCCCCCAAATCCTGAGGCGCGAGCCACTTGGCTCGAAATCGAGCCAGGGGCGAGCCGGCTCGCCCCAGCTCGCCGTAAAAAATGGTGACGAGCCGAGCCGAGCCGGCTCGGCGCGCCTCGAGCTGGGTACAAAAAAGAAGGCTCGGCTCACCTTTTTGGCGAGCCGAGCCGAGCCGAGCCGGGTGTGGCTCGGCTTCTGCCCAGGTCTACCTCTCTGCTCTCTCACCTTGCTTCCACTCATCATTTGTGCATCCGTAAGGAGTCTATTTTTAAGGCGCCTAAAAAATGGACCCCTCTGCTCTCTCCCCTTGCTCCCACGCATCATGTGTGCATCCGTATCTGTGTACTCCTCTCTCCCGCAGGTCCATTCACGGCTGGTCGACAACGCTAAAGTGGCAATCGACGGGCTGTCAGCAGCAGGAGACTTCACAGCCCCGTCTCTCTCTTCTCTATCCTTCGCCCCATCATTTCCGCACCCCTACTCCTCCCCACTGCAGGTCCGTTCAGGGCTGGTCGATGGCTCCAAGGTGGCGATCGACGGGTCGTCGGCAGGAGGCTTCACCACCCTCTCTGCCCTCACATTCCGTTCAGTCTTTAGAGCTGGGTGCTCGTTATATGGGGTAAGGCACGGAGCAGTGCAACACTCCGCGCCATCTTCATTTCAAGCCCTCATCGCCGGCTCTGTCTTTGAAATTCTTACAACTCACCCTCTGTGCTCGGGGATATGGTGCAGTGACCTTAGGTGCCCAGGAGTTTGGTACTCTGGTAGCGCATTACTTACTGGCTAATCAGCTGGGATACAAGGGCGTGTTGCACTGGTGGGCCAGTGTGCGCACTCCCATCGGGCCATTGCAGACTCAATATGAGACCTGTTGCACATCCCTTATTGCCACGTTATGGAAGACGCCGTTTAATTGCAGTTTTGGAATTCACCGTTTTCCATGTTCGTCAGATTGGCGATCTGGAGGCTCTGGCTCTTATGATGCACAAGTTTGAGAAGCACTACACCGATACCCTTGTTGGTGAGTTTTTTTCCGAAAGCACTTTACTAACACTTATTGGTGTGTCGCTTGCCAGTGTTCCGCACAAGTGTACTCATTGATATGCCATCTGCCATCAGTAATTGTGTGTGTGAAACTATCCGCCCTTTTTCTTCTTCTTCTTCTTCTTTCCTGGAGAGGATGGTCAGTCAATCGCTGCGATCGTCGATGGTGCATGATTGGAAATGCAATTATCACACCTTTTTTTTTTTTTTCCCCCATCAAACCCTCTTCCATTGACTTCGTCTGCTTCTTCCGAATTGAAATCCTCCCACCCTCCTCGTCCTTCGCTCCCGTACCCCCACTCCCTTCTCAGCACCCTACAGCACGCCTGAAGGAAAGCAGCTATACCAGGACCGGTCACCAATCAAGCACGTTGACAAGCTCGCATGCCCTTTGCTGCTGCTGCAAGGACTTAAAGACCAGGTACGAGGACACTTGCACGGCTCACAGACCAGGTTCAGTGAATCGGAAGGCGAAAAGTCCAGGTGCAGTGAGGCTGAGGGGCTTAAAAGACCAGGTACAGTAAATTTGACGGGCTTAATTACCAGGTATGATGGAGATTCGCGTTCAATAAAGTGGGGTGCAGCAAATCTAATGGCACGAATGCCAGCCGCGGTGAGTGAATTTGGGGGGCTGAACCCCCAGGTCACGAGTCAAGGCCAAGGGCCTGCCTGCCTGCCGCACGTTTCCCACTCTCCACTCGAATCTCTCCTTCCCGTCTCCACACCCTCATTGCTAGGTCGTGAGCCCTGATCAAGCTCGTGCTATGCGCGCTGCAGTGAGGGCCAAGGGCCTGCTTGTCTGCATCTAGGCATGTTAGATACTCCCATCCCTTCTCTTGCTTCCCATCCCACTCCCCTTCACTAGGTTGTGAGCCCTGACCAAGCCCGTGCCATGGATGCTGCAGTGAAGGCCAAGGGTCTGCCCGTTGCTATTGTTGAGTTCCCAGACGAAGACCATGGCTTCCGAAATGTGAGTGCGTGTGACTGTAATGGGGACAATGGGCTTAAACATATGTGATTATGGCTTAGGATTCAAAGGCATGTATGCTGGACTGAGGGTGAAGGGTCTGCCTGTTCCTCTTGTTGAGTCTCTCAATTCAGACCATGGCTTCTGTCAAGAGAGTACAACGAGGCGAAAGTGAGACTACATGGTTTACAACCCCTTATCTCCTAATGCTTACTCTGCCAAACTAGGACTGCCTCTACTCTGCGCCTCCATCTGCATTTCTTACCCACTTTGCTTCACCTATTCGAACTGTGTTCCCTTTTGCATATACTGCCCACTGGTCTTTTCTATGGTTACGTGGTAACATGGCAGGCGGACAACATCCAGGCACACTGGAGATGGATCACGAGTTTGTCTGCCGTGTGTTTCTGAATCTGCCTCTTCCTCCTCTGCCTCTCCCTCACATGGTTACGTGGTAACATGGCAGGCAGACAACATCAAGGCAGCATTGGAGATGGAGCATGAGTTCTTCTGCCGTGTGCTGCTCAATCTGCCGCTTCCTCCCAGCAAGAGGCGGCTGACCATTGCCAACTTCGATGAGGACACCTGAACAGTAATGGCCATTCCTAGACCTCGTCACCTCGCATCAGAGTCCTGAGTCCAGACCCACCTCACATTTGATGTACAGTACTGGGCGGTTAAAACTTTTGGCTCACAATTGAGTTTCAGCTTGGTGCGTCACAATTTTGACTTTAGGTGGGGTCTGACACAAGGGCTTTGGAATTCGCTGACTATTGTTATTTGGTAACATGGCAGGCAAATTGAGTGTATCCAAGCAGTGTGGCATAGTGAAAGCTTCTCTAATGTAATTACAGCCGACCATCAGCTGAGTTCGGCAAAGGGAGTCCCATCCCACCCAGCCCAGTGTGACTGATGTTCAGTTACTAAACAAGAGCAAGCTATTAACTTATCAACTTATCAGCCATGCCTCAGCAGCACCAGCAGCTATTCACATTATGAGAAAGAATGGCACCATTTATACACAGAACGTGAATAGAAAGCCACCAGCATCGGTCTCGTTCGTACATTATGAGTCTTTCTTGGACTCAACAGAGCCATTCACTGAACTCCCGCCACCATTTGCCAGAACTGGCTCAGCCTCCTGCGAGGCAACAATGCAATTGGAGAATTGGGAGGAAGGGCGGAGTGGTTGGCTTTCCTGGAAAGTACCAGAGGAATAAACGGAGGGGAGGCAAAGCGTGAGACGGAGTGCGTTTCAAGGGCGGAACACGGAGGGGGAGAGGGAAGGGGGAGAAGGGAAGGGGGGAGGTGAGAGAGGGACGAGGGAAAAAAGGAGAGTGGGAATGGGAGGGACAGAAAAGAGAGGCTCTCTCACTGGTTGTGGCTTGTTTGCTCCTGGTTTGTAAGGGCACGAGGGTCCGTCTCGAAGCGCGGGTTTGTACTCTCGGCCAATCAGACGGAAGACGAGCACCTGCAGGGAGGGCGGACGGCATCAGGAGAAGGACGGAAATAAGGGGACGGCGCAAGAGAGGAGCAGCGCACAGAACGATTGACGTACGAAGATGGACAGTAGAACGATTGACAGAAGACGAGGTCACTAACTGATACGAATAAGGGACGAGTCAGCTTGTATCAGTAGCAATCGACGCTGAAGGCAAGCGGAGAAATTCGGTGGTTGGTTGTCAGCACCAGCGGCTTACCAGTAGTTTGTCCCACAAACGCGGGAGGATGTTGACTAGAGGTAGCAGGAAGAGAGGGAGAAGACAGAATACGCAAACCTGCATCGAAGAGGATAAAGAGTCAGGCATGGTTGATTCAGACAAAGGAAGGGAGGCACCAGCTCTCAGCAAGCATGAAACGACCGAATTCAGCGTAAGAAGAGGGCTCCACGCAAACATGTACCATGATTGCCGAGGCTTAGCTGAAAGCAGTCAGCCGTCTGATAAGCAGGGACTTCCAAAAAAAAGAGCACTGGAGAACAACGGCCTTGGAGAACGAAGCGTGACAAAGTAGAGTCAGGAACCTAGAAAGTAGATCGGCAATTCTCAAGCCAAGCGTCAGTAGAAATCACTGAAACGATACCTACTACAGCTTGGAAAGATAGTGGTGGAGTGCAACTATACCGGAGCCTTAGGGCGTGTATAAAGTAAACGGGCAGCGCTTTATAAGCTGTTTTGACATCACTCAGCGACGTCCGCGCGACGTCACATTTGCTTATTCTGAGGGCTACACAAGCACATTGAACAATGACGAAATGCGAAACACATGAGAAACGTTTTTTAGGGTGCCGAAACCAAGCGTCAGGTGACAAAAAAGGATTGCAATAAAAGAATGCTGCAACGCGCGAAACAAATGCAGGGATTGCAAATCGCATTCGATGTGCTGGCACTCCACTTGCGGAGATTCCTTTCTCGCGATCTGGTTCGTGCTTTCGCTGCATGTTTGGTTTTGTTTTTTCGACTCCTGCCCACGCTCATGGCTTTGGGCAGCGCAAAATGTGCCGGGACGTCATTTCGGACCTCCTATTTTCCCCTGAACACTGACAGTGCGTCTACAGTTGCTGTTGTATGTGGTAACCATACTAAGCCGTCGCTAACGTCCCGGGACGTCACTCTCGGTTTCACTTTATCCGCGCCCTACAACACTGTTTTGTCGGTCAGGAGCCTGCCAGAAGCTTCGTCTGTCATGACTCGATAAGGGGTTTTTCGAGATAAGCAAATTCACAGTTTGCACTGCATTCCGTATAAGTTATTTGATGAAGGTTGGATTATGGGCACTAGCGTATGAAGAACTTGTTCTTTATGTCAAAGCATGTTGAGATTTTAAAGGACTAATTGCGTGGTATAGTTTTCTTCATCCTCCCTATGACGCGTATGCTTCCTTGCGTCGGTTGCTGATCCTCCTGGTGACCATATCCCATCTCTTAGTCGTTACATAAATCAGACAAACTTTCAGTTACCTTCGATTCTCTGACAATCCAATTACTGTAAGGAATTTTCCATTCCTTAGCGTGTTTCATCGCTATCGCGTACACCGAACCGACACATCTCGAAACTCGGTCCTAGCTTCGGTCCGAACGCGTCATTCCGAAGCGCTCCGCGTCTTCGGATGCTTTCTCCGAATTTGTTCAATCATGCGGCTAGGATTGCTCTTGTGTTCCTATATCTTGCCTTGCCAATCCATTGTACGACATTTGCAGAGTTTTCTGCCATAACGGGAGCTTCTGCGGAAGTGCCTGACGTAGATAGAGCTACTCTAGCTCTGTGGTTAAGGCCTTTGAAAGTCAGGTCAAACAGGCATGAAAGCCTGTATATCATGGTGTTTTCTATGGCATACCCTGATTTTCAGGTTTTGATTTTTATCAAACCTGAAATTTATGTCTTCCCATTTTCTAAGGCCTGAAAAATAGTATTTTCTTGTTTTTGGTTCTCCTCACTTGGCGATGGCAGAATTTCCAATTCGTTGTGTTCGCCTTCTGCGATGAGTGCACGTGCTGTTACGAAAAGCATACACATTTCTCTCTTTGATGCTCCTTCCCAAAACTTCAAGTTCGTCGTGTTCGCCTTCTACAGTGCGTGCACGTGCTATCACGAAAAGAATCTACATGCGCACGTGCTGCTGCATAAATAATCTATCTTTCTCCTTGATGCGCCCTCTCAAAACTGCCAGTCCGTCCCATTGCTGCAACAGGAAGGTAATTTCACGGCAATAGTTGGGAGTATCAAATCCCGTTTGGCTACCTTTCTACTTTCTTCTCCTTGCAGTCATACTGGTTTATTTGGCGGAGCACATAAACGCGCATGTTGCTCACAACTGGAAGACATTTTCCCGCCAGATCTACTTTGACCAATACGGGCTCTTCATGTCAGTGCTCTTCTCAGGCCCGATACTTGTCATCGGGATTGTCATTTTGGGAAGCAGGAAGGGTGCTTCTGAAGTGCAAAATAAGTGTCGGATCGGCCCAAGTCGGCTCTTTTCAAGCTGAATTCTTGTCTTAGGGATTGTCATTTTGGTGAGTAGGGATCAAGTGTCTGTGTTGGAGGTAAGTGCCAGGTTGACCCAAATCCAGGTTCAGATTTCTCGGCTCTTCCCAGGCCCCATTCGTACCATCAGGATTGTCATTTTGAAGCTGGCCAAAAGCCAAATTTGTCATTCTAGTATTAGGATTGAAGTGTCTGTTATCCAGGAGTTTCAATTTGACTCAACTCAGCTCATTTTTGGCCCCATTCGTGCCGTCGGGATTGTTAGCCTGGCACCAGGACTGAAGTATCTGTTACACAGGTAAGTTTCAGGTTGATTCAAGTCAGCCTTTTTCAGACTCGATGCTTTTGGGATTGCCATTCTCGTGCGTCCTGGAGTCATTCATCAGCCGTTTTTCTCCTTCTAGCCCAATCTGTCATGAAATGTACTTGCACAGTGTTGGCGTTTTCCTGCTTTATTTTTATTCTTTTACCTATACAATCTCCAGAGAGTTTTCATGGAAAGAGACAAAATTGGTGAGTGCGGATGAACTGATGGTGTTGTGGAAGAGAGCAGAGCTTACCCTCTTTCCTCCCATCCCATTACCCCCCCTCCTCCCGCTCTTGACTGCGCATATGCACATGTGCAGGTACAACCAGTAGGGAGTAGGGTTGAATGGTTGTGACGTGGAATTCATGAATGCTTGATCCCAGTCTTGCTCCCATCCTACACCCATCCCTCTCTCTCTCTCTCTCTCTCTCTCTCTCTCTCTCTCTCTCTCTCTCTCTCTCTCTCTCTCTCTCTCTCTCTCTCTCTCTCTCACTCTCTCTTTTGTGTTCGCGTGTGCGAATGGTGAGTTCGGTTGAATGACCAGTCGGTGAAATGGAAGAGAGCAGAGCTCACCCTTTCTCCCCCTGTCGTATTTTTCTCCCTCCTCCTTTTCCTCCTCTGCCTCTGTGTGTGTGCATGCAGGTACAACTAATGGTGAGCATGGTAGAATTGATGGTGAAGTAGAAGAGAGCGGAGCTCAAGCACAGGGCGAGAAAGGCAGCAGAGCAAGAGAGGAGAAAAAAAGAGTAGGTGCTATCAGCATGGTGGTGGTCAGACCGAGATGTTGTCTTCTGAAATAGATGGTGATGGTGCAAAATGCCTGCATTGCGCTATGCAGCTTTAGGAGATAGCATTACGATGGAGAGTTGTGTTGCCCTGAATGTTGTCATGCAATCATTCAAAGTGCTTTTCCTTAAGAGGGTAAAATTTTCCGATATTTGGAGAACCACCTAATGAAATTATGGAACCACCTGCTAAGGTATTAGGCCCATCGAAACTATGGATTCACCACTCGGATGTATATTTCATCATATTAGAATGGCTCATCTAGTGGATATGAACTATATATATTTATGGTAGGTGTATATGAACTATAGCCTAACTAGGTTCTTTTCTTACTGTGGAGTTGCAGTGTGTTGATTGCGTCCTCACCCCCCATACCTTGCCGTCCCTTAACGCACGGCCGAAGGCCGCGCCGCAAGCGACGGCCGCCGAAGGCGGCCGGCGCGAGCCGCCACCAAAGCAGAAGCAATGGAACAACTGAAAACTAAACACGCAGGAGAGGGAGCCAAGGGCTTTAGTAGTTAGCTAAGGGAGGCAAGGGCTCAGGTGCTCCTTTCCTTTCTCTTCGCCACCAAAGCAAAAGCAATGGACGAACCCTTCCCCCTCTCCTCCCCATCCATTCCCCCTCTCCTCGCCATCCCTTCCCCCTCTCCTCGCCATCCGTTCCCCCTCTACTCGCCATCCGTTCCCCCTCTCCTCGCCATCCGTTCCCCCTCTCCTCGCCATCTGTTTCCCCTCTCCTCGCCATCCGCTCCCCCTCTCCTCGCCATCCGTTCCCCCTCTCCTCGCCATCCGTTCCCCCTCTCCTCGCCATCCATGCGTGTCGTTTTAACTTAGACCATATACTTGCGCTTCGCCACGAGGCCTACTGGTGGGTCTCACTGCAGGAGCACTTCGCAAACTACGGCGGGCACTGTGTATTTTACGCATATTTTATATCGTCCCTCTGTGCACGTCGGTATTACGTATTTGGGTCGCCTTTTCGATGCGTGGGCGCTATTTTGGGTTGCGGAGAAACTTATAGCAATCAATCGAAAAAGTTTTTTCTTTTCACTCGATTTTTCCAATCTCTAAAATAGTAAATATATATTTTTGTCAATCCATAAGAAACACCAAATACACCGCACTGGTGTATAGTAATATACACCATAGATGTAATATTGTAACTGAATTTTATGGTAGACCAAAATAATAATAATATTTTTTAGTTTGCTTGGATATTGGTTTCTTACGAAAAAAAAAAACTTACTTTGAATCCAATGTTCTTTCTGTACGGAAGTAAAATTGTATGAAGCATTGGAAAACAAATCGATGTATATCTGTTTTCCATAACTCTTTATTCTTTTTTTTTACCAAAAAAAAAAAAAAAAAAAAAAACTACCCCTCCCCTGTGCTTGCATGAAAAACCTGTATTGTGATCCTGTCTTGAAGATTGAAAATATGTGCACATATTTTGAATTGACGCTCAAATTACAAATAACCGAGGAACGAATAGAAAACAAATATCGATCATTTGTTTCCCACTATTTCCTGTCTTTTTTCTTCCTATAAAAAAATGCCACTTAACTATCGCTTCCCCAGTGCTAGCATGGGGGGGGAGTCAATATGTAGATAGAGACTAAACAACACAGTTTGTGAATTCCAAGAAAATGATTGCACTCATCACTTCCAGTTCAAATGACTGCACTCACAGAGCGTGTCAAGAACCCTATATGAAATGATACCGTAATCCTCCGGATTTAGACGCATCCCTTTATTTGGCCCATTGCACTTATGGAATGCAAGTGCGCTTATATTCGTTATTTTATTATAAGCGCACCCACATTTTAAAAAATGTATTTCCTATAGGCGCATCACTTTTTGTACAAACTTATTTTAAACGGGATATTTATATATCGGAGTCTTTGCCGTGCCCCTCCCAAACCAGAAGCGCGAGTCTCGCTCACTGTGTTGGCTCTGATTGGCTCGCGATTTCAGACATTCCGGGGTGGATCTGGTGGCGGAAGCTT